GTTTTGCTGATAAAAGGCCACTCTAGTGTATCAAAAGCTTTCTCAAAATCGATAAAAAGAAGAAGGCCCGGAATGTTTCTTCCTTCTGTATATTTGATGACACTGTCCAACAAATGAATATTCTCACTGATACACCTGCCTTTAAGAAAGCCTGTTTGATCATCTGAAATTAGCTTTGGAAGATAAGTTTTGATACGACTTGCAATGGCTTTTGATGTAATCTTGTAATCACAATTTAACAACGTTAATGGTCGCCAATTCTTAATGAGAATGAGCTCGGCATCTTTCTTTGGAATAAACTTGACAATGCCACGTCTTTGTGATATTGAAAGTTGTCCTGTCTCAAAAGAAAAATTTAGCGCACTTAGTAGTATTTCGGCTAAATCATACCAGAAAACCTTGTACAATTCGCAGGGGAGACCATCTGATCCTGGGGTTTTTTCAGAGGCCAAGCTTTTTAATGCTTCTAGACATTCCTTTTTGCTTAAAGGTCCTTCGCAAAGGGATTGTTCTTCTTGGCTCAATCGCTTCTGTTCTTCTAGGGGCGGGAAGAAGGCATCTGCACTCTTATTGGTATCTACTTTAGAGGTATAAAGATTTATTTTTATAAAAATTTTCACACTCAAGTAAGATCTCTTTGTCTGTAGAAATAAAGTCATCCTCACTAACTTTAAGCTGTGTTATTGTTGCTTGTTTACAGCGTCTCTTTTCAAGATTGAGGAAATACTTAGTGTTTTTCTCGCCTTCGTTGTACCACCGAGACTTCGATCGTAAAATCGCTCCTTTTGTCTGGTATTCAATTATTCTCTCTAACTCACGTTTTTTTCCTTCAATATCGCACCATATTTGTTTCTTTTCTTTGTCATTAACATCAGAGTGGGTAAGCTTTTCTTCTAAAAAGGTTGTTATTGATATCTCAATTTCCCCCTGCTCTTTTCTTAGATTTCTCTTCTTAGTTGTTCCATATTTAATAGATACTTCTCGCACTTTCATTTTAACCATCTCCCATAAAAGGCCTGGGTCAACAGTGTTATCTTGAGAATATTCATCGATAGTTTGTGCTATGGTTGACTTAATCTGGTCGACATATTCTGATTCAGATAAGAAGGAGGTATTTAGTTTCCAAAAACCTCGGCCTCTAGTGTTGGAGTGTAAAGAAATTTGTAAGGTGATCATAGAATGATCTGTTTTGTAGCCTGCTAATATCTCTGCATTAATAATATTACAGAAAGTGCGTTGATTAATTAGAAAGAAATCAAGTCTACAGTGGATTTCAGGCTTCTTCTGTCTCCATGTAAATCTGGAAGAGTCAGGATTTCAAACTCTTCAGGCGTTTGCTCAAACTTGGGAGGTATTGGCCCTGAAAAACTGTATCGAGCCACCTTAAACCACAGAAAGAAAAATGAAATTTTACATTTATGTACGCGCGTGAGAGATCTTGATATGTCGTAAATAAACTCACTGCGAGATGAGTAAAATTGTGTACAGAAGCTGGCACATGAGTGTTACGAAATAATTCGAAATATGTTAGCATCGGTGCGAGAAGTGCTAAATCGGAAAAGTAGTTAGTCCCTCTCTCCGTTTTTCCTTTGTCGGGGGGAGGGTGCGGCTACACATAGGCTAGAAAATAATATAACCGATTTTGGGTTACTATTCTCCGATTGAGCACAACAGATTTCCTCAAATTTTACTATTCTGCAATTGAGAAAGCTTATATTAAAGACAATTCCCCAATTACATGGTTCTTTCGATTTTAGCCAATTCATTAATTATTATCAATTATATCGGCTCCAAGTTTCAAGGACATTGAAAATAACGAAGGTAGTTAAACTGCCTTCATTGTGTGTCTCGCTCATCAAGAAAATTTCAAAAAACCCAGGAGTTGTCCAGGAATTCCAGTAGTGCGAACCCTTTCTATATAACTGTTTTCTGTTTCTTAAAACACGCAAAGCAATTAATTTTCAGTTTTATTTCTATTGGATATCGCATTTAAAGCCTTGTACCCTCTTGTAATTAAAAGGAAAGACTTTTCACACTCAGGGAAAAGTTGAAGTTCTTCCTGTGGGGACCATGGAAGGGCGTTGTTTCTGCCGCTCCTGTGCAGGCTAACTGCCTAATGGAATACTATATTTAGAAAATATCTAAGATAGTACGCGCGCTCTGATTGGCCGAGAGCAGTGTTTGCATGAGAGTATGTAAACATTTAAATGTAAACAGATGTAAACATGATTGTGGCGTCAAGTTGTTTGGCTTTTCGTGCGCTAATCACGCAAGCACCAAATTTGAAAAAGTTTTCGAGGTCAAAACTCGACAAGTTTACTTTATTTACCCATTCCTTCATCGGCTGAAACATGGAAAATCGTTACAAAGAAGGTGAGTCAATTTTTCTTCGCTTAAGCTGACATTTTAAGCGAGAAAACTCCGTATTTTGCAAAGCATCTTTTTGCAAAACAAGAACTCATTACGCAAGCAAGACTTCGTGGACAAGATTTTGCGACTGGTAAGAATTTCTCTTTTAATCAGTGCCATACAAAGAGTTTTGCGTTTTTTTTCTAGGGAAAGTTATTTTATAAAAGCAATAGAAAACTTTTTTCCTGTGTTTGCATAGCCTGATATAAACACTCGAGGCGTTGGGAGAATTCTCGACGGTTATGCAAACCCTCGACTTCGTCTCGGGTTTGCATAACTGTCTCGAATTCTCCCAACCCCTCTCGTGTTTATGTCAGGTTATGCAAACATGAAAAACGTTTTCTATTGCTTAAATAATCATTCGGCGTCATATAGGGCCAATAACTCCACGTAATAATTTTGTGTTCGTTCCAAATCGATTTCCAAACCAGTTTGCTAAATGACCTGAAATAACCCGTCCCCTCCCTGCAAAAAACTGCCCCATTGAAGGGGGAATGGGACATGCAAAGCCTCCTGTGAATTCCATCCGCCATTTTGTCTTTTTTAGACATACGCCACTTGCACATCTCCCAAAATGCACCTTATTTGCTCCCCAAAATTTTGCGTAAGCATTGTTTTCCATTTCTCTTGGAAAGGCTGTAATACCTAGAAGAAATGAAAAACAAAGGTTGTGCAAAATTTTGGGGGGAAAATAAGGCGCATTATGGGAGATTTGCAAGTGGCGTATAGATGAAAGGTAGTTCTTGAATGGGCATAGCTCTCATGGGCAGCCCAATAGCTTTTGAATGTCTTCAACAAATCACTCATATTTTCAACACATGATCAGGCCCGAACAAGAGAATTGGAACTTCCTCATTAACGATCAGAAGCCAACACGAATAGTGATTGCAGAAAACCTCCACAGATTAAAGCAAACGTCTAAATCAGGGGGTGCATTCATTAACCTGTGTTTTCCTGCCTTTTCACCCAGAGACCTCCTCCAAAAAATCTCGACCAATTGTAAAACACGTTTAGTACCTAACCTGTGAAGTTTCCCAGTGTAACACTATTACATAACACTTTGAACGTCACCTCAGCGTTGGCTATCGAAAGTTTTGATAAGCATAGACAATACAGTTAAACTCCACTTTACGGACACCTCATTATTATGGAAAGTTTGCTTTGTCCCTGTGAAAAGAAAGCCCATACATTTTCTCTAAAATTAATTCAACCCACTTAATACGAAGACCCTTTTAATATGGACACTTTCTATCATCCCTCAGTGTCCATATTAACGGGGTTTGACTGTATTTACAAACATTATTTAGCCTTTTTGGTTTGGGCAAACCCCTAAAGAATGATTTTGTCAGTTTTCAACAAGAACCAAAAGAAGAGGGTAAGCTATCAACAGGTTCAAAAGTAGTACCATAGTAGCTGAACCCTAGCTGTTCACGTAAATCTTGGATACCAAGACAGTTTAAGTGTGGGCACAATAGCAAAACACATAAAAATGTACATATTTTCAAACTAAAAAGTACTATATGAACAGGGCCTTGGTTTAGAGTTTGTAAAATAATGATGATGGCTGAGTCAGTGCATGGTCAATGACTAAAAAAAATTTACATTTCACAATAATATTTAAATGTGCTGAGAGTGTTTTATTATCACTCAATGCTTAACATCACATTTATTTAAAGACCAAGCAAATAGCAAAATGCACCACTGGGTGTTCATTTTTAAGAATCTCTCATCACCCTCAAAAGGGTGTTGAAGCATGAAAAAATAGTCTTGATCATTGTCAAGGCAAGATGTGTCCACAGATCCCAGAAAAATAAGGCCAGTAGCTGCCCAAATGAACTCATTTTATCTGTATATCCTCCTCAGGAAAGACCTGAAACAAAATAAACCTTACATAAAACAGTAATAATTTTATGATTCATAGATAGCACTATACACACAGTAAAATACTACCTGAAAACCCTTGGTATTTAAGACTTTATCATATGGGATATTTGGGTTCGTTAACTTGGGTAAAGGACAGAGGGTGCAAAAGGAGAGGGAGAGGAAAGATAAAAGCTCTCTGAAGCTACTAAAACTAAATTTGAAATTTAGTTCAAATCTTTTACTTGTATGTCTGTGGATGATATACTGGAACTTCACACCATCTGCCAATAGTTTGTTTTGCGAGGGGAATTAAACAGATTCTTTATCATAAAACAAATAAACTCTCTGTTCCGTTGTAAAGCTTTTAGGAGGCGGCCAAAGCATGAAACAAGTAGGGAGAAACACTTCACCATGTCTTGTATTTTCCCCCTAAACTTCTTTTCTGCTCTAGCTGCTTCCTGTGTGCTTTACAATAGAACAGAGCACAGTTAAGGCTTTTTTTGTTTGTGAATTGTACGTGGCAGGAATAGGACTCACTGGTAGACTGCTTATTGCGATATAATCACAGTGAAAATGTTATTTTGTTGGTACCACAATTAACATGCTCTCAAAGCAAAATTTATTCAGCTGCAAAATGAAAGACTTTTGTGTTAACTTTGTCTGGACATCCTATCTGAATTTAACACAGTAAAAGATTTCATCTTGATCATGGGTCAAATAGTTGGATGTTATCTAATGCCCGCCTATTATTTGCAACTCTGGTTGAACTCTGTCTTAAATTGCATTGAAAATTGATGTATCTCTCCACTAAAGCTAACATGCTGATTAGTCTCAATGTGACTTAATTGAAACGTTTCTTACCATTTGCCAATTTACATTGCCTGAGAGCCTCATTGAACCCCTGACAAAGAGTAATATCCCTCTGATTCTGTGCACATTCAATAAACTGCTGCATTTCAAATTGACATGGACCTTGCTGTTGCTGTCCACTCATTGGCTGATTATAGCTTTGGTATGGTGCTGCTGTGGCATCCTGTTGATAAGCTGGTTGCTCTGATCCCCCACCATGTCCACCAAACAGAGCACCACTAACAGCATGACCCTACAAAGAAACATAAGTCATTCAGGGGGCACAGCTAGTAGATCTCTTCTAAAAACTCCAATATAAGTACATGCTGACTTTCTCATCATGCCATTCAGTGGTAACATATAGCAATTAAGAAGGTTTGGATATAGGTTGGCAGCTGAAGCCCCCAAAAACTGACCCTGTTTAAGACAAAAATTGCACATTTTGGTACGCTGTTTAAGACAAGACAAGACATCTTATTTTATGACCCTGACTTTTTTTAATTTGCATACAGAATTGGTAATTTTTCAAGGTAATATCATGGAACTAAATGTTTTGTCTCATCCACAGCTTTCACACTCTTTTAAAGGTTTCTGCTGGTTTCAGAGGCAGCATGGCTGAGTAGTTAGAGCACTGGACTTGTATTACGGAGGCCCCGAGTTCAAGGCCCGCCCTAACTGCTAGCTGGATTTGTTCTTGGTAGTCCCGAGTTCAAATCCTTGGCCATGCTTGTAAAATGGCTACTGGGTTTGCCTCCTACAGGTTGGGATTTTTAACTTTGTTATGTTCCAGATTGAAATATTTGTTTCATTGTCCATGAAAAGTCCCCAAGGGAAGTTGATAATCAAGTATTTAATTTAATTTAAGACACCCTGTAGCCCGTGTACAGACGTCCCCCTCCCTCAAGAAAAATCGGGAGAGGAGACGTCTGTGAATTGCCGTTGTTAATCGTGTTCCGTTATATATTTGCATAAATTATTTTTTTGTTCTTTCGCTGACAGTTGAAAAGGCACATGTAGATCGAAAAATAGCTCTAGCGTCTGTGCACAGGCTAGCCGAACATCTTCACGGAATGTCCACCCAAAAATCCAGATATATGATCTCTGATTACAGTCAAGCCAGGTCAAGCGTACCTCCCAAGATCGCATCAATGTATTTATTATTCGAAAGTTGAACCGTTGGTAGTTGTAGATTTCAGATTCATCTCTGTGTGCATTCTTGCATGCGTAACGAACCGTGAACTCACACGCGATTCATTTACGAAATTTCTACCACCTCAGGTTCCCTGAATTTGATGTAAATATCTTCTAAGACATTTAATCCATTCAAAGATTTTCAATCTGACCAAATGCAGAGAGGTTCTCTTAAAATATTCACTGCTTATTGCGCATACAGGAATGATGATTTAAATTTGACACCAGTTACGGGAACGACTAACGGATTCATTTTTTCAAATAATCAATTCATTAATAGAATCTTTTTGGGGTAAGCTTGACCTGCTTTGGCTGTTAACGTTGGATTTTGTACGCGTTCTCTTTTATTTACAATACCGACCGGTACAGACAGACGCACCCGCAACCGGTGCAGCAAACATCGGTGGTCTGAACTTCTCATGCCTTTTCGAGAGAGCCGAAATACAAATAAGGGTTACCAAGATATGAATGTCCACATAGGCTGAGTTTTTCCCCGGGGAATCTATTCTGACGTTCATTTACCAATCACAACAACGGAAATTATTTGCGTCATGCCATTAACATTACAAACAATCAGAAGCTGTCCCCAACATTCCGGGGAAACGGGAACACGATTATCGTCGGCGATTCACAGACATCTCTTCTCCCGATCTTTTCTGAGGGAGGGGGGACGTCTGTACACAGGCTACACACCCTGTTAAAGACCCCAAATAGTTAAAAGAGGGCAGGGGGCATGCTTACTTTTGTGATGCCGTGATCAACCATTTTTTGTGTCTGTGAGTATTTAATATGATCTACTGAAAAACTGTTCTGTGAAACACAATTATTGAAGTGCACTCTGTGAAACCTAAACTGCCAAAATCCTCGATTACATATACACTGAACATCAATCGAAGAAAATATATCACTAATTTGGGCAAATGACCTTAACTAGCATCTGGGGGCTTGATTCAACTTCCCTTTCAAATATTTTGATGTAACTTCACACTTATATACACTCAGACCCACCTACAGCTGGCTTCCCTAGCGAATTTATAGCCAAACGGTGTTTTTCATAAGGTTCCTAAAACTCTAGTGAACTTGCTAAAATATAATCGAAGCACTCTGTTTTGCAAAAATAATGGGACTAACATTATGTTTTTGACATTGTGTACGACCTCTATTTTTGAGAAGCGTGAAAACGTACTATTTGTTTCCTGACTTGTGAAATGCAATTCTTGTTTGTGAACTCGTGTTGAGACCTCCCTTACCCCCGCTCCTAAAATTGTACACCCTGTTTCAGACTTAAGAACCTGAAAGCCATATCCAATTCAGTGGCACATATCTGTCAAAGACTTGATAAGGGAGTACCCCCCAGGTAAGGGTCACCTCTATAAGATGAACAAATCTGTAAAACGGACACCTAAACATCAAGGGATGGTTCTTGGCAAAACCGATTACCCTTTCTCCTTTTTAACCACAAGATGCCTGGATCTTTTTGGAATATCTCTAGACAATGAACTTAATTTCAAGGATCACATATCCTCTGTATGCAAAAAAAATAAATAATCAGTTCAGTGTCTTCAAAAGATTTGGCAAACTTATCTCATCCGAAATTATGCTTCGCCTTTATAAAGCGTTTATCTTACCCCATTTTCACTACTGTTCAATGATATGGCACTTTTGTAATTCAGAAGATTCTGTCAAACTGGACACCTTAAATAGACGTATTTTAAGATTTGTTTTAAAGGACTGGGACTCGAACTATGATGCTCTTCTAGACAAGGCTGGTGTGTGTGGTTTAGCCAACAGGAGGATACAAAATATGATGATTTGTATATTCAAATGTCTCCATTTTGGTAAATATCCGTGCTATTTAAAACAACTGATCAAGTTAAGATCTACTGCTTACTCCCTACGGGGTACTAATATTTTATCACTTCCTAAGCCGTCTACAACCACATATGGTCTAAATTCCTTTAGCTATTCATCTGTTAAGTACTGGAATTCTCTACCTGATCACTTTAGAAAGACTGTAGATTATAGTGAATTTAAGCGCAAATTGTTAGTGCACAGTTTTAGTTAATACTACATTAATTAATATTGTATTATATATGTTGTAACTTTTAAAATTAGTTAGGGTCGGAGATACTAGCTATGTAAGCTACACTAAAATCCGAGGATAAATAAAGTTTATGTATGTATGTATGTATGTACACCTAGAGTTGGTCCTGCCTTCCTTTACTCCCTTTATTTGACTCTCTTTAAGATGGACATCTCCCAATCTAGGAAAGACAGTCAGCACTGGTCCCAAAGGTGTCCGTCTTAAAGAGAGTTGACTGTATATAAATGGAGTCCTTTTGATTGGACTATTACATAAGCACAAGATTGGACCCGAGTCCCTGAAGCTTCCTATACATCCACAATAGAACCTGTTCGCAGTTTCACTACACTACTCTTAAGAATACAAGTCTGAAATTGTCAACGATCGTGTTAATTATTTCAGAAGGAATTCTTTTTACAAAATGCCACGATCTACTTTTATCAGTGATAAATTAAAGTAAGTGTAGATTCGTAACTTTTATCAATATCGTGCGCACAATATCTTTGATAATGTCACCAAAGATGAAAGCTCATGATCAGATCAACAACTTACCACAGTTGAACCGATCGCTACACCAGCCGCAGTAGAAGCCATTTGTCCAAACAGTCCAGGTTGTTGTGGTGTTGCCGGTGTGGGCTGAGCCACGTTTGATGCAGGTCTTGCGGCAGGAACGCTCGATGAAGGCTTCGGAGAAGCTCGAGGAGCAGGAGGTGGCGCTCTACCAAAGGTAGGCGATGAGCGACCGCTAGATCGCCTTCCACCACGCGGCATTATTATTATTTTTGTACGGATATAAAAATTTTACAACTCTACGAACTCAAAATTATGTAAGGCTGTCCGAGTAAAAACTAAATGGCGTTCGGTTATGATGCAAACTGGCTTTCTATTGGCTCATCGTGACGTTGCGTTTCAAAACCTTCCCAGATGTAGTTGCGGGCTTTACTTCTTACCCAATCTCCGCACGGACAAAATTTTTCAAGGAAAAAGGCAAGTGAAAAATAGGAGAAGGGGAACGGGAAGGGAGGGGGCGGCTGTACACAGGCTAGAAAACGAACACTGTTCAAAAGGAAAAAAAAACGAAAAGAAAACAATGAAAACAAAGATAAAAATTTTTGTATAATAGCTAGCTAAAGCAGATAATTTCCATTGAAAATTCCTTATTCATGGCATTTGATTTCTTCCTTCCGTTTGAAATTTTATCTAATTGTTTTTATGAGCCCTTGCTATACCTGTAAACTGGTTACCTTTCAGTTTGTGCTTGCACTCTTTTTATATTTTTTTGATAAAACATGTTCATTGAACAAGTGCACCTCTTGTTACTTTGGTTTGAAAGCCCATGAATTTCTAGTTGTATTTTGTCTACTCTCAGCAAATTGAAACCGTAACCTGGTCTGGGCGCAGATCATATTTTTATTTCGCGTTTTGTAGATCCATATCCCCTTTTCATGGTTAGCCACCCTCATTTTAGTAGAAAAGGAATATATTAGACCAGGAGCCCATCACCTGATTAGACTTTTTGGGTGCTGACAAAGATGTGTGAAACACGTATAAAGTAAAGGAAATGAAACCCTGGTTTTAGATTTTCAAAATAAGGGAAACATCGAAGCATGAAAAGTTTAGACCAAAAAATTAAAGGGAGCAGTTGCAGTTACAGATTGTTACAGATTATTTTCCATTGTCACGCAAGTGTCACGCAACATCCGCAAGAGACTGCTCCTGACTGTTTGTACAGTTACTCTTTATTTCTATTATTATGCATTTTCACGTTCATATGAAGCCTTGCTCTCGTGAATAGACTCCAATTATAGATCCGTAAAGGGTTCCTTATTGTTTGGGATAAAAATTAATCAACTATGTCCACCATCAATTAAAACTGTTGTCTAGTTGTTATGGTAACAAGAAAGGAAATGAGCATTCGTGCAAGCGAGGCAGCAGTGTGAGCATTCAACTTGGGTTGATGGTTTGAAGTTGCAGAAACTCCTTTATGTTTTGGGACGGGATTTGTTCTTGAATGGAAAATACGAAATCAAAGAATGGAAGAAGGATCAGAAAGAATTTCTACTCCGATTCGGTCGCCTTCGGAGAAAGATTCCATCATTCTTAACCGCACGAGCGCTTCGAGTTCGCCCTTCGGTTTTCGCAAGGTAAATGCGCGCATTCTTGACTTGTAAAATTTTATTTTGACAACATAGAGATCATATTATTCTTTCCGATCTTTAGGCAGCTCTTAGTCCTCCTACTGGCCTTCTACGAAGGGAATCTTCTGGCTCTTTATCGCCAGAAGGTGATGCTTTCTTTGGCAGCTTCGAAAATAAAGAAGACGATGAAGACTGGGACACTGATTTAGAAGTGGAAGGTATAAGTAGAAAGTTTGTGGAATTGTAGGAACTTAATATTGTTCTTTTTCAAAGTAAAACCTTATTGTGGCTCGATTCATAGCATTAAGTATTCATAATTATCAATGAAAGAGGCTGTCAAGGCTAATTGTTTATTAGAACGTTTGGTTATTAGGTTCAGCTGCCAAAACTGTACATAAGTTTACAATGCAACGTCCTTCAAAAAGACAAATAGTGCTTATATGTAAGCTTACCTACAAACATTTTGAGGCATTAATACATAGGTCTGATAGCTAGTGTGTTTCTTGTGCTATTTTATAACTTGAGAGAAATAAAACTTTCCTTTGATTTTGGAAGGGCGGACTCTACATTAATGATATAGAAATTGGGATCCCCCGAGAATTGACAGTGTTATGAAAGAAATAAAGACTTCATTTTAGTAAACAATATCTTTTATTCGAGAGACTTGGTAAAGCTTATGTACGAAAAAAATAAACATTTTTCCTTGATTTGCGTGAATATCCTTTGAATCGTGACATTTTAGCGTGAAAAGGCATGCAAATGTGAGCTTTTCTTTTTACAGTTGCACACGAATACAATACTCACCTTTTGTTTTAGGAGTCTTAATTGACGTCTGCTTTTCGGAAACTGGTCGTTTGTACAAATTAAATACCCCCTGGAGTAGACCAGGAGATATATTTTACGTGGGTTAGCTAATTGAACAAAACTGAACCAAAAAAGTCATCCTGATTTAATGATAAAAAATGCTTTTTCCGAAAATAAAAAAAAATATATATATTTTTCCATATTTCAGCTGTATGCATGTAGGTGTATGTGTTGCCTATCTTTGTACGGCATCTTTCCAGGCCCTCTCGGTCAATGCATTTCAGTGACTTATCCGAGACGAACGGCTGGGAGACGCCTAGACAATCTCGGAGTGCGCATTTGTGAGCATTTTTGCATTTTTTAAAAGTTCCCCAGTCAACTGAAATAATCTATAAATAACTTTGCGCATGAATATCCTTTGCTTAAAGATCGGCACTAACCTGGTTTCTGTTATCAAAGAACAAAAATATTACTTTGAATCGGAAAGAATACTACTGTATAATGACAAGTAATTTGTCTTTTAGTTCATTTTCAAATGATCCATTAAAATGATATTTCTTTATTGATAAAAAGATTTGAAACAGTAGTTTGTTGACATTGTACCAAATTTAGAGACCAAATTCAACAGCCTGTCCGATTAGTTTGATAAGCTTCCAAATCCAAAAATTAAATTACATAAAATATTTCGAAGTGAAATGATAACGAGAAATTTATAGGAGCAAGCGAAAATAGAGAAATGAAAGATAGCTTTTCATATCCAAGAATAAATATAAACTTATTTCTTTAGCTTACCTTCCGATTCTTGATCAAATAATTTTTTTGTGATGCTGTTTTGCTTAGCCTACAAATAGTTTTTTAGATGAAATAAAGTTCAAATTAGTTTAATGAGATAAATGAAAAAGAAAGGCCAAAGGACTTTCAACAATGAAAATGTGCATAGGATAAAAATGCTCGGTTTAACTCTTTATCCTCTGTACTCTCCATGGCTGCTGGACATCTTTCATCAGCGCGGAAAAGTTATTGACAGCTCGCCCACTTCCAAAAGCTCCGCCCCAAGTGAAACAAAATGTCTCACTTCTCCGAGTTTGTCTAGGCCTCAAAAACCTTCTCGGACCACGTGACCTGAAAGGCAGCGGCCACGCAAAATAATGAGTCCTAGGGACTAGGCAAGGCGTATGTGCATATATGGATGCTATGCTCCAGGTCCCAGTTGTTCAAAAGGTGGATAGCGCTATCTGATAAATAAATCTTTCTCCAGTGGATAGTGCAATTGGTTTCCCAAATACTTATCCACTGGAGAGTGATTTATCCAATGGATAGCACTATCCAATGTTTGAACAACCGGGTCCTGGTAATAAGATAAATTTGGGGTATATTTGTTAGTACGCCATGGTAAATACAGTGTGTGCTTCTCAAAGTTCAGTAGAGTTAGTACATTTAGTGTTGGTGTTTTTCTTCCCCAGAGGGCAAAGAGGAATATGATGTGACAGGAAGAGCTACATACTTACAGGCTTGTAGGGATTCAGGAGTTATCCCAGTGTCATACTTTCATCGTAACATGCAAGAACCTGAAGTTGATATTAAGCATCATGGTTTGGGTCCAATGGGGGCAAAGGCAATAGCAATTGCTTTAGTGGTGAGCATTGTTGAAAGGGAAATAATACACATCGTTTTTGGAGGGGGTGGGGAAGGTCAGGCTGTTTAGATAAATCTTAGTCTGTACTCCTAATACAAAATAATGTGCTGTAAAACCTCCCTTTCAGTCACCATTAGAGGTATGCCTAAGTTTTAGCATCAGAAAACCAGAGCTGTTTAGGTCTGGGACCAGGATTTTTTCCAGCTACTATGAATGTGACCTCAGTTTACTTTATAAGGAAAACAGAATATAAATAGAACCAAAAGAAAACTCTAGTTGTTTGATTCCCCTACCTACTTGTTGCATTTCCCCCTTCAACTTTAAAGCTCAGTGACAGTCCTGGAAAACTTATCTTTTTTTTAGGTATCATTTTCATATTTCATTGTGTGTTTGTAAGTTAATTATATTATTTACTGTTTTTTTCCATAACTGGATAATTATGATATTCATTTTTTTTTATAGTTTTTGTGACTTGTGAGAGAATTGAGACTCGCATAATTTATGATTATGATTATGATTATGATTATGATTGTTATTATATTCTCCACACTGCATGAGACTCAGGATCCACAGAGCTTATACCCAGTTTTGTCTTTTTTGTATTTTTGAAGGCTAATACGTCAGTGATCAAACTCAATTTGGCTGACAACTGGATTGGTGCTGAGGGAGCGGGATATGTTGCTGAAATGCTTCGTGAAAACTGTTACATTTCGGATCTGGTATGTGTCACAGGTTATGTACTAAATTTATAAAGGTTTCACATTTAGTATTTGGAAAATTGCTGTCAGTCACTTAGTACTGTGCTTACATGTAAATCAGAGCACTAATCCAAGATATTCCCATCCCTGTTGTAGTGTAGGGTACTGAGAGGGGAATTGACAGAGGTAAGGACCTTTCCACTCTCCCCTAGAATTGATGTGGAATCTCCCAGTTTTTAGTGATCACCCAACTGTTCAATCTTAATAGAATAAAACCTCATTAGATAGGCACTCACAGGACCCTCAATGGTGTTCACACACTGTAGATGTGTCTGCTAATGGCAAGTATTTGTTTTACTGTAAAAGTGGGAATAAAATGATGCTGAGGACTCATTGACATTTGTCTCTGCTTAACCCTTTATTTCCCAAGAATGACTAACATCAATTTTCTCCGAACAATATCAATACACAAGTTGTGAGAATTGGTAAAATAATCACTTACAAAAGAAGTTTGTGATTAATTTTAATAATCTTTTTAGTAAATCTTTGTGTAAAGTATAGAGACCAATCTGGAGTATTTGTATGTGAACACTGGGGCTTATACACCTGGGTTTTGCATTTGAGTTATGCTCAACACACATTTCACTGTGATTACAGGAATCAAATGTGTTAGTCAAGTAATCCTTATTTCATAATTTCTTTCTCCTGAAGGACTTGTCAGAAAATAAACTGGGAGTAGATGGAGCAGAATCACTTAAAGACATCTTACTACATAACTCAAATATCACCAGATTAACTGCAAATGGTAATGTTTATGACTTTATTTGAATAAGTAATTGGTACTTTAAAAATAGATGGATACAAGATACTCTTAATATTAGCCAAAAGAAGCTTTAACCAGCTACTGATAGCTTGCCAGTCAAGGACACCAAAAGTACTTGAATTTCAGGTCATTTCAGATAGTCATTGAGGTGGCTGCAATTGATTAAAAAATATACAATCATGTATGTTACAGGTCAAAATTATGTTCAGGTCAGAATTGATTCTCTATTTTCCTTTGTCTTCTAGCCTTACTTTATGAATAATTAGTGCTAGGATACAAAGGAAATTGAGAATCAGCCTAGGTTAAAAAAATTTGACCTGTAAAATGTATATGTGTATAAGGGTGTAAAGAGTCAATGTAGATGGTTTTGATGTCTTTGTTTTACACTATTGTCTTCAACAGGGAATGAGTTTGATGATAAAGCAGTTAAAATATTAGCTGAAGGAATACAAGTAAGTTTCCTCTCTGTTGCACTCAAGAAGCTGTTGCACTATAACCACCAGCATCTCAAGCAAAGTCCTCTCACATGTACACATAATTATTATTAAGTATATTTTTGTGATATGATGTTTATAAAAAACGTTTCTGACACTTCTTCATTATTTTATTCTACAATTTATTTTAAATCTACAATGTATATGAATTTCACTTACTAAATACAACTTTATGGCACATACACCCCTCTGAGACAGGTACTTAACTTTGTAGCATCAGTTAAAGTGGTGTCTATCAATCAGTCTGTCAAACTAATAAAACCTTGAACATCTACAGTTGTAGGGGTGTTTATTGTGTTAAGACCAATCGCAGCAAAGAACAGGACATGCAAGCAAGCTACAAAACCACAAACTAGTTATTTGTTGCTGCTTGCTCTTTGGTTTTACCATGCCTGATTGGCTCTTCCCTAGCAACACAATAACATTCCAGCAATATTTCTGGTGTTCACGGTTTTGGGAGTTTCGTAGTAAGAGTGCGTTGACCTTCTGGTAATAATTTTATCTTTTGTCTGTTTTCTTGTTTGTAGCATAATAACAGAGTAAAATATTTGAGTCTGAGTCACAATCAGCTAGGAGAAAAAGGAGGGCAATACTTGGCACCTGCAATATGTAAGTATACTGCATACAAGAATGGTGTCACAAAAACTTTAATTAGGAGATCTAGTGTCCAATTCACTGCTCAGAGACTTTTACTTGATTTTCTCTTTTATTTGCATAATTTATCAAAGCCATCAGACCAGATGTACATGTAGAATGCAAAACTCTTAAACCACAAAGGCGATTTCTTTTGTTCTTACTACACCCATTTAACTTCAGTTAAACTGCACGGAAGTAAGATGCAGTCAATGGTGTGCTGCCTTGTATTAGATTGGCTGATATGAAGGCTTTAAAAATTGGGGGATGACAGGGTTGGGAGCCCAGAAGAATAAGGGGTGGGAGGAGTAGGGGAGGCAGAAGAGGTAAGAGCGTAGGAGTTCTGAAAGGGTGAGAAGTGGAAGAAATGGATGGAAATTGTGTAATGGTTCTTGATATTTTGCAATCGAAAAAGGACTAATGTGAGAAAGCCAAGAAAAAGGGGGCAGGAGCTGGGAATGTGAGGTATAAGAGATGGGAAATTTGGATCCCCTGTCCCCCTGTCCCACTCCCAGTTACAGTTACTGTGTATGAAAAGCCTTCTGATACATTGAGACTAGTCTATGGTATGTCACATTGTATTAATCTTTACTTGATTTTTTTTATTAGCTGCTAATGATACAATAGACCACTTGGATTTAAGCTGGAATCACTTGAGGAATAAGGGAGCATGTGCAGTAGCATTATCTTTAAAGGTTTGTTCAAATGTTTTCTTCATGATTGCAAGCCAACTGACTTGATTAACTAAAATAATTCATGGGAAATAAATATAAACAAACTGAATGATAGGCTCTTTTATCATTTTATTTTTGTTTGATGATAGTCATTTGTTATTGATCACAACATTTCAACCACATACATCACACACAAACATTTTAAACACATACGTCAGGTGATGGTCTTGATTTGCTGAGAGAGAGTATTAGCACTAACACTGAATGATGTCTCCTAGCCTGTGAGTAAGCTGTCCATTTGTGGGAGTTGCGAGACGTTCCAGAGGGCAGCGCGCAGAAGGAGATGCAAGTGCAAGGAGCCCTTTGCTGCTTGCTTGCTTGTTCTCTCACAGCTCGCCTCACTCGCCTTAAATGGAGAACTTGCTGGCTAGCCTATGGACACAGATGTATTTCCGGTCGTCGCTTCACTCCACACGAAACCCGCAAATGACCGGAAATACATCTCTGTCCACAGGCTACTTGCCGGCAGGCTAGATCTCTCCATTACTAGTGCCCTCACTTTCAACTTCAGAAATTCAGTAATCCATGATCAATTTAAAGGTACTTGGTATTTTTAAGTGCAGCGGTGTCGTAATTTGTATTGTAATGCATTGTTCTTGTTTCCTGCAGGAAAATATTACCATTAAGTCTTTAAACCTGGCATGGAATGGATTTGGAAATGATGGAGCACTTGCCATGGGTGAAGCGCTAAAAGTAAATTCTACCTTGAAGGAACTAGATCTGACGTGAGTGTGTGTAACTGCCAGCCCAGTAGTGTTGCATGGAGGAGAGGGAAGGGGAAGGAAGGGGAGGGGTAGGGCAGTGGAATCCTAATGAGCCCTCTGAAAACTAGTCCACTGAATTTTTGTCCCTTGAAGAAACTAGATTTGACGTGAGTGTGTGTTACAGCCAGCCCAGTAGTGTTGCATGGGGGGGAAGGGAAGGGGAAGGAAGGGGAGGGGTGGGGCAGTGAAATCCTAATGAGCCTTCTCTGTATACGCTGTAGCCTTAGAAAATTGTTCCACTGAGTGTTCGTGTTTTTTTTTTATTGGCCATTAGTTGACAAAACCCAAGTGGACCTTTCATGTTTTCCTTTTGAATGAATCTTGTATAAGGCGGAAATAAAGAGAGCTTAAACCGACAGAATGTATAGGGCAGCTGTTGTCTTACAGTCTGTTCCTCGCCTTAACTGCATTTAAGAACATGGGTGTTATTTCTGAAATTTGGTAAGAAGTATAATTATCATTATAATTAACTCCAACTCCCTTGAAACGGTTTATAATTCTCGAAGATGAACAGTCCCCTAAAACACACCTCTAGAGTTCGTCCCTGTCGTTCTTACATGTAACTCATTTTCTTTGACTCTCTATAAAACCGTCACCTCCCTAAAATGGACACCTAGAGTTGGTATCTGCCGTTTTTCAGTCATTTTCTTTCCCCTGCTGTAAGGCGAACGTTGGTCTCAACGATTTACATCTGATAGAGAGATTATGTAACAGTAAGGAGAATGATTTTTCTATATGTCTTTGCATTTTCAGAAATAACAGAATAACCGCAGAAGGGGCTGTTTATTTGGCCAAAGGATTAATGGTTAACACATGTCTTCAAGTTTTGAAGGTTGGCATTTACTTTCTGTTGCATTCTTGAAGAAAGTGTCCGCTGTGACGTTTGCTTATGCAATATATAGTTACTCTGATGTGTAACCAGCAGATGTTGCTCGGATATACGTGTAGTGCGTATATGCACTGCACTATTATCAAAGCATGCATATATGTTACTACGGTAAATGGTTGCTCTTTGACATTGTTTAGCAATATAGTAAACTAATATCAATATTACAAACCATTTTAATGACCAGGCCCCGGTTGTTCAAACGTTGGATTACGCTATCCACCGGATAAATCACTATCCAGCGGAGAAGTATTACGGAAATCAATTGCGCTATCCGCTGGATAGTGATTTATCCGGGCCGAGTTGTTCAAAGCCGGGTTACGATAACCCAGGGTTACTGCGAGATTTGAATTCAAATTTGAAAGCTTAAAAAACATCTCAGTTTTTATTCTTTTTGTCTACGAGTTGATGATTGAAAGCTCTAAATACAGCAGAGAAAATTATCCGAGAAAATGCTTTTGAACACAAGAAAAAGAAACCGGGGTTAAATTTAACCCCAGGTTAAGCGCTAATCGGCCTTCGAACAACTGGGCCCCGGTTAATAGCGCTATCCGACGTTTGAACAGCCGGGGCCAGCTCCCTGTTGGTTTGCTCTCTTAACTGGTTAAAGCGCTGCACCAGTTTCACAGAGGTCGGGTTGGGATCCCGGCAACCTGAATTTTTTTTGCAGGCTTTCTTTTTGCAACTGCGTAAGTTGCGTATTTACCTGTGATGAACTTCAATGAATTTAATACATTTATAGTTTATTCATTAGTTTGATTGCCTGTTAGTATAACTAGTTCTGTCAAATTATGTTTGTTTTCTTCAGATTGGGAAGAACCCAATGCAAAGTCCTGGAGCGTATGCTCTCGTCAATGCCATGAAAAACAACCCAGAATCAACACTGGTAGAGATTGAACTCACGGTAAGATCACGGAATGTACTGAAAATATATGTGCGTTATTGACCAAGCAGAAGGTCAAGATAGCTGGCTATTGTTTTTCCATTATTTATAGACTGAGACAAAGTCGAGGCCGACAAAAGTATGAAAAAAAGAAGAAAAGAAAATATCATGGCAGTTATAATGTGCGCAACTTTATCAGATTCGAAAAGATAACGTGGGAGAAATTCAGGCTTGAACAGGAATAAACCCCCCGACTTCTCAAACTCTCAAAAGAGTTTTCATCAGTTTAATTGATATTCGCTAGTGAACATGTACCTCAAGGTCAGTCTAAAAAAATTAGTTTTGCCACGTTGTTTTTTTAAACCCTCATTTCAGTATATGGAAATCGGATGACCACTCATCATATTCTTATCACAATAGTTAGTATTAGCCAGTTAATTTTATAATTTTTCCTGTACTTAATAGCTTATTATATAGTCTTTGAAAAGCCCCTTCGAGAAATATGATAAAATCATGTCTGTCTGTATGTATATGATATTTTATTTACCTGATTATTTTTTAACTTTTTCTTTTTCTTTTTGAAATTAAATCTAGGATATCACTGTGAATAATGACTTCGTAGAGTTGTGCAAAGAGGTGCAACAATTGCGACCCAACATGAAGATCAGACATGGAGGTACTGGAGGCGCTGCCTTTAAACCAAAGCCCCGACCTTCTCCTATGAAAATATTAAAGAACTGGATAGAAGACAATCAAATGAGACTGCTAGACTTGTTCAATACTCTGGATAAAGACAAGAGTATGAATATAACTGTGAAAGAATTTGCGGATGGATTAAAGGTACTTGCATTCGCGCTTTGCTCTCTGATGAAGGAGGACAACATTGAAAGTTTACCGTGCCGGATCCAGACGTTGAGATAAGGGAGTGGGGGGGGCGGTCTCCAAAACACCTTTTTTTGGACCTTAGGTTGATCTAAAAATAAGGGAGGGGGGCGGGCGCTTTGCTCTCTGATGAAGGAGTACAACATTGAAAGTTTACCGTGCTGGATCCAGACGTTGAGATAAGGGAGTCGTGGGCGGTCTCCAAAACACCTTTTTTTGGACCTTAGTTTGATCTAAATATAAGGGAGGGGCGGGCATCCCGTTGCTCTCATACTCCCCTGGTGATTCTACAACTAAGAATCATCTTTTAATTGTAGATGATCATAACAACATGCGAATGGGGCAGGAAACTCTAGAGCGACATGTGTGTAGCCTGTGTAGCTGACGGGATCGTCAGACTGCTTATTGACAAAGGAGTTGTGAAGTCGCGTGGAGGATGGGAAAGAGATTTTGCTTCGGCGCTCGCTTCTTGAGGCTTCGTTGTCAAAACTCTCACGCGGGCGGACAAACAATTCCCCCAGCCACACAGGCTAACGTGTGTGTAAAGGCTTGTTTAAATCCTTGTACTGGAATGTTACATGTTATTTATACTTCTGTTTCAACAGGAAACAGGAATTGACATGAATTATTACGAACTGTATAAACTAATAGACAGCCTGGACAAAAATAAAGATGGTGAAATAAACTACAGGTAAGCTTAGACTTGTTGTTGACGTTATCAAACGTTATTCATAGGATAAAAGGTTTAAAGGTTAAAGTTAGTTCAGTGAAATAATAATGTTTCTATGAGCAAAAAAAAATAAGTTGGTTATTGGCTACGAAGAGGGGTGGGGATTAAGGGACGGGTCCCGAAAATTCAGAAGTGGGAACACTTGCCAGCCATATAGATACTTTTTTTTTCGCTTTATTTTTTTTGCGGGGGGTGGTCCCCTCGAACCACCCCTAAATCCGCTCTGGGATTTTCCTCCCTTTAGGAGGTTATAGGTGCTCATTCATTAGGCAGATTTAGCAAAGCAAACGTGACGAAAGTGACGAGTGCGCGCGCAGATATAGAAACTCAATTGACCAGTAGCTGAGTGGCAAATTAAGCACCGTGAATCGCATTCAGTCCTGTCCCCACACTCTCTCATTTGACGTCACGTTGACGTGGTAAATCTGCCTATTGACTAAAAGATACGCAAATATCTTTAAGTTGCAAGGAATCTTCGACATTTTTGCGTTTCGATGTCCGCCTAGCGAGACAGTGAATACAGCCCTCTCTTCCAGCTTATCGCCCACGTTTTGTATACGCTGTCTATAAGAATATTTGTTGAAATTTTGTCACCACCAGAATGGAACACACACTAATTTGATTCCTTACTGTACAATCTGGGGTCTACAATGATATAATGTTTTGCTTGGTGGAAGCCTGCTAATACCGTCGTTTCTCTCGCGGAACGTTCCTAGCGGAGAGCAGCGAAGAGAGACGGCTGTATGAAATGATATCATTGTAGACCTCAGGTTATACACTCAATGATCAATTTAGTGCACCTGTTCTATTCAAGTTGTGAGAAAATCGAATTGTTCTTATTGACAGCGTGTGTGATATAGACTACGAGTAGTCCCCCATTTTCCCTCAGGGGTAGGGTGATTTTCACGCGCGTTTGTGTTTCGCTCGCTCTACTATCCCTGAGGAAAAATGTGGGACTACTCGTAGTCTATGTGTGATATACCACTCCCTTGACTTGGTTGTAGAGCTTAGATTGTACCCGGAAACACCTAGCCTGCGAACGGCAGACGTTTCTCCTCGCTCATCGCCGCTGAGGGACAAACGATGAGCGAGGAGAACCGTCTGCTGTTCGCAGGCTAGGAAAGACAGTAGGAAATGAAAACGCCTTCATGTGTAAAAGCTTGTTTCCCGCTATTACTGAAATAGAAGGTGATACAGCTCAAATGTGGGTGCGATATATGACTCAAATCAAACCAAAACCTTTTTTGATGGTTATTTCTTTCAGTGAACTGGTTATGGGATCCGTAGAGCAACAAAGGGAGGACCGGAAGGAAAAGATAAAAGAAAAAGCGCAAAATCAGAGAAGACAAAGAGTTCTGTCTCCTTTACCACCACGATAGCAATCTGAACCGAATCGCTTATGGTGCCGTTCTCCTTCCTACTTACCCTGGGTGCCAGAGGCTTTTCATGTGCGGTTTCCGGTACCCAGGGTACTTCCTACTTTGAGGAATCAATTGGGAAAATTAGAGCACTTTTCATCTGAGGCTCTGTCCACACGTATCCCTTTTTTTTTAAATACACGTCCACACGTAGCGTATTCGAATCCTTGACCCGTCCACACCAAAACGCTAAAACGATGGAAATACGATAGCATCCCTCACAGAGCATGCGTATTACTAGTAGTAAATGATGTATGGCATCATCGTTTTCCGAAAATCTCCGTTTTCGTCCGTCCACACGTAAACGAGAATCCGGCGTTTTCAAAAATCTCCGCTCTGGAGAGCGTTTTTGAAAAGATAAGTTTTCGGTGATCGTTTTCACCGGATGCGTGCGGACCGTGGGCAGAAAAAAAAATGTGCGTTTTCAAATAAAAACGGATACGTGTGGACAGGGCCTAAAGGAAATTGCGATTTATATTTGGGCGCTTTATGATGGGCTAGGAAAATCTCACGCCACTTTCCTAGTTGCCTGCGTAGCAGACAGTCTAAATTTAGGGACGGACCGTTATTTTTTTGAAGGGGAGGGGGGTGGAAAATTTTCTCATGCTACCACTGCCGGGGTGATATGGCTGTGCGCATGCGTAAGGTACTGGCCATACCGGAGAGTTGTGTAGTGTGACCATTGCTTTCAGATGGTTTATTAATTTTTTGTGTCTCCCTCTTCCTCCAAGCACTTTATTTTTCCTTGCGTACAATTTATTTCAGTGCTTACAGCCTCTGCAAACGATTTATTCAAAATTTCCATCCCATACCCCTAATCACCCCGTCAAAAAAATCCCTTAAGAGTATATCGATCTGGGTCTCGAGTGACAAGTTCGGCTGCAACGCAGGCAACTTTCTCAGCCAATCACTGAGAAGTAAAACCAGAACCAATCACCTCTTTGCTACAGTCGTTTCTTTTTCGTGCCTGACCTTGGATGCATTCGTCAGTTTTGATATGTGACTGGGTTGTCAGCTTACTTTTTGAGCAGAAAGCAGTTGCTTTTATTTGGTTTTATGACGCTCGATCAAAGAACGCTCAAAGAGCATTTTGCACACAATGAGCCCGTAGTCATACTCACCTCCACCCCCCCCCTCCTCAGAAATAGGGCTCTCTCGGGGAGGGACAAAGATAAGACTTCGGGGGAGAGGGACATGTAGAGCCTATTGATGTTGGACAGTTGATAGGAAAGTTCTCGATCATTTTCTGAATGCATCAGATATTTTTATTATTTAGTATTTTAAAAAAATGCCATTTTGGTAAAACCTTTCTAGTATATAACCATAAAATTTTCCTAGTGTTGTTTTTTTTTTAAATAAAGATTCCTGTTACTTTAAGTTAACTATGAGAAGAAAATACTTCAAAATATAGTCTTTAGCAGTTAGTATGATCAAATATATATGTAAATACTCAGCCTGTTTAAGGCCGGTTAGAAAAATATTTTCTTATTTATATTAACTCAAGCCATAGAGATATCAAATAAATATTTTTATAGTTTGTTATTCTCATTGAACTTTTGTGTGTTTACTCGGTTTTATCCCTTGGACAAACTTACCATACTAAGTTTTACATAAGAGTGCCTTAAAAGAATAAGCAACTAGTGCTCTATTCCTTCTTTATTTTTCTACTTGCGCTACTAGTGCTTTTCATATTAGCGCTTTATCCTTTCTTATCCTTAGAACTTGTTACTCTGTGCCATCCTTTCGTTAGCCTGCGAAACGCATACGTATTTCCGGTCGTCTCTTCTCTCCCTCTTTTCGGAGGAAGAGAAGTGACGACCGGAAATACATCTGCGCTTCGAAGGCCATCCTTTCGTAGGCCAATCTGATATTAGTCTACGAGAGAATTGAGCAGATATAAGAAGAGATAAATATTTTGCGGTAAAGCATGTTTTTCATTTCATTGACTTTCATATAGGTTTTAACGTGAAATTTATAGGTTTCTTTTGTTTCCCTTGGTAAATAAAATTCCATGCGGGCGGTGCGTCCACGTCATACGGAATGTAGGATACCGTAAAATTCCGAAAATAAGCCCCAGGCGGGGCTTATATTTTTCAAAGGCCCTTTTTGAGGGGCTTATTTTTTGAGGGGCTTATCTACGAAGGGAAATTTGCGTTTCAAAATCGATTGGGCTAGCCTTATAGTTGGAAGGAAATTTACCGTTTTTGCTTTGTTTTTCTTTGTATTTGAGGGCAATTTCCAAGTACAAGGCCCCCAGGGGGGCTTATATTTGGAGGGGCTTATACATGGAGCGGCTTATTTTCGGAATTTTACCGTAGCTGCTAATTTCTGCCTTACCTCTGGTAAGGAACCTCTGCTAGCTGCGGCCTCCATTATGTTGAACTCTTTACAACGGAAACTCCACGACTGATGCGTCACTCAGAATCATTTATTCTTTCCTTTTCCAAAAAAAGTAGTCACAGCGGCTACCTCTCTTTTGCTCTCTACTACGGCTACTCAAGTATCCTGTCTACATATACCCACTCCTCTCAAAATTTTTTAGGAGAGGGGGCGTCCGTACACAGGCTATCCAGTTACTAGCTGCTATTTGAAAGCACAGCCTACCATCCAAAATTAGTGTGGCTGCCCTGTGTTTGTTGTGCCACTCGCCACCAACAGCGGGAAAAACGATCCTGTCACGCATCACACTCAAGGGATCTGTTCAGAGTCGTCTGGCGATTTCTTAAGTTAAAAAACTTATTTGTAAGTTAAGAGAGGAGTATCTTGCATTAGGAACAGCTAAAGCTCATTCAGCTTGAAGACTTCGTTAAACTGGAGAAGCCATTTCAATGCGTTAGAGGACAAAACGGACGAAATCGGGAGGAAATGCGGCATGCAGATGAAGTGCTCAGAGTGCAGTATTGGGATTCGTGACGGAAAAACGTAAGTAAAAATATATATATATTTTTCATCTAATTAATTCGACCGACGTTAGTATACCACTTCTCCCGTTCCTAAAGGTTTCATTTATTCTTTTCCATCAAACATAAGTGCGCAAAGCGACGACAAAAGAGAACAAAATCATCGCTTTGCGTCAAGATCTAGTCGCTACTTGTTCTCGCCTCTTCGCGTTTGAGGTGAAAAACGCTGAAAATTAATTTCCTGGGTGCAGGAAATGTTACTATGTTCTGTTTAACCTTTATACTACAAAAAAATGTAAACATAATTTACAGTGTTTATTAGTTGAACGGCTGCCAAAGGTTTCACTTTGACCTAATTTAAGCCGAAGATCTCTGATTGCGACCACGCTCATATCGACTCGCAGACCTCTCACAGTATTAAGTGGCTAGCATTGTGAAATGTTGAATATATGAATTTCATATATTTGAACTGCGCAATAAAAGAAATAACATCACAGCAAAATACGCAACTTGTGCAGTTGCAAAAAGAAAGCTTCAGGCTTGCTGTAATTTGAACCTTGACCTCTACCATATTGGTGCAGGGGTCTAAGGGACAGCCATTAGAAAAGTTATGGGGGGGGGAGGGGAGGGGACGGGAATTTTTGAGCCGCAGGAAATTTTTTATCAAATTCCTTATGTGAATTTTTTTCAGGCCATAGCATGAATATTTTTTAGGATTAATTGGCGTGCATGAATTTTTTTTCTTGTAATTTTCCCTTGTGCGCATATTTTTTTGTTCTTCGCCCACGCCCCCCCCCATAAGTTTTCTAATGGTCCGTCTCTAACTGATTGAGCTAGCAAGCCAACTGGGAGCTAGTCATTTATATTGGTTCACTAGCATAGTGCTACCCTGTTTGAACTGTGACTTTTAAGCTCTGTGACAAAAGGTTCTTGCAAGGGACCTTGACCACTTTGGGGAATTACTGGCTGGTCTTTTCCATCGTTTCAAGTTCTTTAAGGCTACCTCTTGGTGTACATTTGAATAAAGCAGGGGAGCATAGAGGGTTAGCAGCACTGGAAAATAGGCGTATGGGAGGTGGGAGAGGAAAGAGAGGGAGGTGGGAGTTCCAGTAGGGTGGGAAGCAGGAGAAACATGGAGAAAGTATGCAACAATGCTTAATATTTTGCAATAAAAAAAGTCTGAAATGGAGAAGGTCAAGAAAATGGGCAGGAGCCGGGAATGCAAAGTACAGGAGATGGGAGGTTTGGACCCCCCACCCCCCCCACCACCCACGAAAAAAAAACATTTACTTATCTTGATCAAAATAAGGATGATGCATAACATTATTTAACATTAGTTTGTGCAAATGTTTTCGTAATTTACAACATACCACTAGCTCTTTGCTTTAAACTCTTGAAAGCCACTGCCCTCAATAAGTTTGTCACATGGTTGTTTATGTCTGCCTATTCTTGTAAACGACACACTTTAAGCTGCAGCCACTTTTGAGAATATTTCCTGAGGTGGCAGCTTATGTGAGTTTTGACTGTATTCAAAGATTTCAATGTTCCGTGAACATCTAAGTACACCCCTAACCTCCAACCCTATGGATTTTTAGAGGTTAAAAAACTGCCCCATGTAGGAAAAACATAGGGTTCCAATGGTCCACTTTGGAGGTCTAAATTGATTGCCTTAGAAGATGGGAAAAATACAAGACACAAGTAGATGATTATTATATTGTAAGTTCTGACTTGTTAACTTCATAAATTATTTATCAGAGTTATGTCAAATCAATAGGTCATAACTGAGTCACAAGCACACCTCTGTGTAACCCCAATACAAATCAACTGGGTGAATGCAAAATTTAATTGTGCAATTAACTTTTGATACAAACTCCTGCTTGACTAAAGAGTAGTCATGAGAAATCAAGGCTTTACCAGGTGGCACTGACCTCTATTAAAGCAGCCACTTGTCCCTTCTCTGAGGGCAGCTGCTTTATAGTGCTTGCACTGTATAATATTTTTGAATGAAAACTGCGTGAACATTCAACATTCGAGAACTGTTGATGACTCATGCTTCCTATCCTCAGGATCAGACTTACATGCACCTTTGCATAATAAATTAGAAAAACAAATGGCTTGATTTAAGGCAGAATTTTTAATGACTTTTCACATGTAAGTGTTTATGAATGTGATCTTCTGTCAGTGTTAGATGATCGTGAGTGTTAAAAAATGTGCTTTGCCCCACCCATAGCTTTGTAATAAGACCTTCAGCAATATATACCCTATTGTGGAACTCACAACAACCAAGTTATTATGGCTGTGTTTTCAAGAAAGTAGTTATAAACAAAGGAATGTTCTGGTGTCACAGACTGTTATAATTGTATTAACAAGGGTTATTGTATTATTATTGTATTAGCAAGGGTTAGGGTCACTAGTTTTCCTTTTACTTGCTATCCTCTCTAGAAAGTCATTATCTTTAGTTATTTAGTTTGCAGAAACTAAACTATGTCTGTTTAATATGAACTTGAACAGTACTGACGGTCAATGTCTAAAATATGCCAAACAAGAAACGTTTGCAAATTCAAGCAAGTAAACTTGCTTCAACTCCTTTGTGAAGCTAATCTACAATGTAGCTAGGCAGTTCTGACCTTTGAAAATCCTGGAAAATTTAAGAATCAAAGAAAAAAAGGGGTAGATAAATAT